AAAAAAAAAAAAAAAAAAAAAAGAAAGAAAGAAAAAGATGTCTAGAATAGATTTGATCATTGGGAGATGATTAGTCTTAAAGAAAGCAGCTTTCCAGAGCTGGGTTGGAAGAGTCAGATCGCAGTGGGTTAGGGAGACAGGACCGGGGAGCAGGGACGGAGGACGTAATCCAGTCTCCATCAGGCAGCCGCAAGGGGGGCGGTCTAAACCCTGATCCCTCCACTCGCGAGCTGTGGGACTTGGGAACGCTCAGTTCCCCAGATTCCTCACGGTAACACAGAATAATATTATCTGCCTTAGAGGATGGTCGGGGAAATCAAATTAAATAGTAACAAGATCATACACAGAGCAGAGCACTTAGCATCCTGCCTGGCGCAGAGGAAGCAAACGAGAGATGCGGCCGGTTTTGTAGGGCGAGGAGCAGATGACGTTATAGACAAAGATCCTGCAGATGGAGCGAAAGGCGGGGAGGAAAGTGCAGAAACTATTTCTTGGCTGGGGGCAGAACACCTTCCTCTGGAAGAGAAAGGGAGGAACGGATGGGCCGGTGGAACATTCGGGAGAGGGGACGGAAGCTGAAGAGCTGGGGTAAGAAATCTTACTCCCCTGTAAAGAAAGAGGCGAGGTTGAAACTACAGAAACCGTTTCAAATACTTATGCATTTGATGAACAAAATAATATTTTAGGTTAAAATAAATCGGTGCCAGTCCTTATATTTGGGTAAAAACGCACTCAGCCGTCTGCTGTGTCACCTTCCTGCTTCTCTGCTTTTTACGTCACTACTTCAGCCACAGGTACCTTCCAGGGTACCTATTCATTCAAGGCTTGTCTTTTTAGCCTACTGTGGGGCAGGTAGGAGAAGACCAGGGAGGCTGACAGTGACAAGGGTACAGGATTGTGGGATGGTGGGGAGGAAAAGCACAGGGTACCCCTTCTTTTCTTTCTTTCTTTCTTTTTGTTAAACAGAGTCTCAAGCTGTTGCCCTGGGTAGAGGGTAGAGCTATCGCCCTGCCACAGCAACCTCAAACTCTTGGGCTTAAGCGATTCTCTTGCCTCAGCCTCCCAAGTAGCTGAGACTACAGGCGCCCACCACAGTGCCCAGTCATTTTTT